TATCGTCAGAACGGTCAAATTTACCATAAAGCATGAATTTAAAGGTGCTAGCTGATTCATCTTTATGAGAAAGTATTGGAAAATACTGAGGTCACAAGAATTCCTTTGTGAAACCACATAAAGCCAGCAAAAATTGGAGAAAGATATAATGCTTAGAGGCTTGTGGATGAGTTCTCCTTAACTAATGTCATATAGCACAATGGCTATTCATTGGACTGTATACGAATTAAGCAAATGCACTTTTATGCATAGTCCAAAGGTGTTTATAAAACTTCTCGTCTTTCAAAGTCTGGCGGCCCGATCAGAACTCCACTCACTAGGAAACTCCCTGTGCGAACTGTTCTAACCGTAATGGTATGGTATCCCGACTCTACCCTCGTGGCAACAGTATTCAATCGATTCTGTCCGTAGATCGACTTTGAGTCGATATAAATCCTTTTGGTCTTCTCGTCATCCAGCCATACCTCGGCCTTTCCGCCACTGCCAGATGTTCTCGTTAGAATTATCACAGAGCTGGTCTTGTAAGAAGAGCTAGCAATGGGAGTGTAAAAACGAAACTTGACGCTACTGTAGCGCTGCCACGTACCCCACCCCCCTTGCGCATCTGTGCGCAAGTCTGTGTTTGTTTTCCCCTCTGAATGTCTTCCATCGCGCAAACTCCCGTATGCTGAAAATCCATTGTTCTGTGTGATTTGAATTTGCACATTGGGGCGATGAAGATCCTGGAAAATATTTGGTGTAACCCCGGTCCAGCAAAGCGGTTGTTTTAGAACTTCAGTGTCTCGTTTTAGTGATAACAATTCTGGTAAAGGCCTAAAATGATAGTTTATATTTCCATCGCTTATGTCATTCAAAACCTGATTAAAAACCCCGCGAACGTAGTCAATCATTAACATGGAAACAAGCGCATGCGCCTTGACACCAACATGGCGGCCATCACTACCGGCCATATTGGTTATGACTGCTTTCCACTGACCGTCTTCCTTGCGGCAGAGAACTTCCTTCAAACTGAAAGAGGTTATACTATAGTGTCGCGCCACTTCAGTTTGGCCATAATTTTCTAAGTTAATACATGTTGGGTTTATAACTTTTTCGGTTTTTGGATCTACACCGAGGCCGCTCACAAGACTAATGTATAAAACCGCGGGCATTGAAGGGTATCGAAGAACTTGACGAGTTAATTCTTCAAAGGCTTCAACTTTTCCTCTCAAATTGAAATTAATAGAGGCATCAATGATAGCGAGGTCCATTGTCTGATTAGCTGGCATAAAGGTCTTGTAGCAAAAGGCGAAGAAGTAACTCCCAGTTCCTCCAATGGCAACCTGGTAACTTTTCATGAGAGACTTTGTAACTTTACCAATGGTTTTGTTCCACCAGTCTGCAAACACTTTGTAAAACAATCCATCCAAAGTTTTTTCGTCTATTCCCAATTTTCCTCCCGCGCTATTCGAGCCTCCGATGACTGCAATGTTGATTTGCTGACCTTTCAACGCTTTGATAAGCACGTTCTTCAAACGGTCAGAATGACCAATTTGAATTGCTTTTGACATTAATTCACGGTTTAGTTTCAAGTCGCCCATTTCTTTCCATCTTGAACTGTAAGTCCATTGCTGAAATGGGTCTTTCTCTAATTCCGCAAATAATTTCGTTTGCACACGCCGTGAAATTTTCGAGTCGTATTGTACGAAGTTTTCATGTTTAAGGACATCACTTACGTTTTCCTTCCTAGGCAAGGAATGATATTCGCAATCATTGTTTCCAATTGAACCCCATTCCTGGAACGTAAACAAAGCTACAAGCAATAAACGTCCATGTAAAGGAAACCACGGCATTGTGGTTTAGACTGAAACAAAAACTGTTTGTCTTCATAAAGAATTCACCTGCCTTTGCAGAATTACCACCAGTTGAAATGCACCGGTGTCACAAAGATTTGCTATTGTTATAGTTGTGAGACTTTGTTCCAATTAAAGAGGAAAATATTTGGCGAAAAAAAAATCGTGTCCTCAGGCGTAGAAAATTATTCCTAACAAATATAACTTAACTATGAGAACCCCTTTTTAAAACTTTAGGCTTGTATAATTTCCACTGAAGCAAAACTGCTAATTTTACGGAAGGAATGGACCCGAACTATGTTGGACAGCTTTTGTAGCAGTATCAATCATGTTTTTGTCGACCAAATGGACTACGAATATTGCGGCGACGATTGGTCACATTCATCAGGGCCCAGTTGTTCGAAGGCTTATTAGCACTAACCCGAGGTTAAATTCTAATCAGGGTTTCTTTAATCCTTCGTTTAAAAGTCTTTTATGGGATAATATTCCTTACACTTTTTAAAGCATCCAAACACCAAGTTGTAGACAAAAAGAATTCCACTGAATTTCCTTTTAAAGCTTTCAGATCTGAAATCAGATTTTACAGTAACCCTTGTTTATCTTACCCCAGCTTTGAACAACCGGGCCCAGATCTCTTACTTCAAAATTATCTTGTGGGTCCGTGGTCGCCGCAAGAAAACATCGCGCTCGTCAGACAATTTTCAAAGCGGCAGTTTGCAATTGGTTCAGGTTAATAAGGGATTTAAATTTCCATTCAAAGTAGGTAACTGGGTTCAGAGTGTGCAGTAAAGACTGTGCTCCTTTGGAATGAATTGATTTGGTCGTGCACACCATGGAGTCCGCCCTTTCAAAATCTGACTTCTTCTTAGCTGAACAATAGGTTATGTTGAAATTTAAGAGTGACTTTTCTTCCCGATCATCTTCGCGTTTGCCTTTTTTTGTCTTTTTCACGCGCTGACAACAAAAGTGAGCTATTTTTCAACTTTACAACCCGCTGCCTCTCCCGCTGGGGAAAGGTCACAACGGTCCTGAATTCGACTAAAATGATCTTTTGAAAGCAAACACGCTAGATCTTCTTGAGTGTTGTTGTTCAATATATATTTTTTATTTTTCCTTGAAATCAATGAGTAAACACGAAAGGAAAAGACAGTCAACCTGAAAAAAAAAGCCGCCGGCAAATATCGGCGAAGGCAAAGGAAGTTGGGAAGGAAAATTTCAAAGTAAGACGCCTGTTTTCCAAGGACAATATTACTGCATACTTTAATTTCAAAAATACAATTTTAATTACTTCATAAAACGGAAAGTTAAAAACACTTTTTTCATCTATGATGACCACTGAACATCTTTACCAGTAAATGTATCCCTACAAGTGGAAATTCTTTCAGAACATAAGGAATACTACACTAAAATGGACAAACCCTACACAGACGTCCCTCCACAGTACTCAATTGCAGCACCAAAGCCGTAAACTTCACCTTAAGTCAGTCATGCCGACTCCTCAAAGATACTAGTTGGGTGGTTTCACCACGCTTCACGCGAATTTTTACTGGCCCGCGCGCGCTGCATGTTACTCTGTGCCTTTTGTGTTCTCTAATAACGTTGCTTTTAGTGTTAGCCTAAAGAGAGCTTGATGCAGTTTCATGGTTCAGCAAACGTTCAAGAAACTAGTCTAATTTTTTTGGCGCATGAACAGAAATTCATCCAATCGAGTCGAAGATTCTATTTAAAGTCCTACACTTTGCGGCAGATGACTGTTAAATGCACAGTTTAATCAAAGACTACCTAGAATTTCTGGAATAAAGAAGAGTAGAGTTCATCGACTCGAAAAGTCCTCGAAAAACCGTGGAGTTCGTTAGTATGCATGGGTGAAACAACTTTTTGAGAACAGTCAAGTTCGCCTACAAGTTTTTCGCGTCCGATCTCACCCATTTTGTAGGTAACTAACTCTTCGACAGTTGCAGGAACAGCAGAAATAAATGACACTTATTAATCCCTACATTTACGCTAAGCCATGATACCCTTCCTAATCAGAACAGAAGAGCCGTAGATTCCGTATTCAGTCTTTCTCGTCATAACATCTGTTTGGTGAATGGTTTAAGTCCTGAGATAAAATTTTAAAGTATCACAACTCGCGGCATACCTGGCACTATCAATGGAATACACGAATTACGAATGTTTCCCTGTCAAACACCCAACTCGGAAAAATCTACGTGTGTGCAAATTGACGCGGAAACATTCTTGTTACTTAGAGGATAAACTAATGTATGCCAACCATGAGTAGTCCGCAATCAGTACTTGAGGCTAAGATTTCACTATTATTATTGTTATTATTAAGCGGTAACATTCAGTTTCATATAACAGAGTCTTCATCTGATCGCATTCTTTTAAACGCTGACACCCCATTTTGCCAGTTACATGTTCATAGGGGAACACTATATCCTTGCAATTGTGATTCAGCTACAACAGACCAAAACCCTTGGCGTGAGTAATGGCTTTCAGTAGCCTTTCTTTAAGCTTTTCCTTGCTGGAGTATTCCGGGAGAAGGAGCACATTAAAACATGTGTGCGCGGTTGGAAGTCTGCCAAGAAAAACAGAAAACATGAACGTGAGAAATTAAACCGACAACAGGTGCCCCCCGTCCCCCCTCCGGATTTCCCCTAAGAATACTGACAGTTCGTCGATACCCATTTACATCACTAAGTAGAGAGGGGCACTGCGACAGTTCAGTGAGTTACAGATGAACACAAAACAGTTAACCTGTCATGGCCCAAACCTGGACGCGTTCGGTCCGCAGTTTTAATACCACCGTAGGTAAATTCACTTTTAAACCGTCCTCAGCAAGCTCCTTCATTCGAAAAAAAAAAAAGTATGGGGAAATTCCAAGAAATTCCCACGAGAAGGTTCAAAGAAGTAACAAAAATCATTTCGAGTTCGGCCTGGAAGATGCAAGAAATTCCAAGAGGTTTCCTTGTGGAGAATCAAAAGTACGTAATCCATTAGAGTCACAATCTCTACCTGTCCGAATCGGGGCCATTCTTGGCGATGACAAGTTTGAGTTTAGAGAAGCCACCGACGGGGATCCTGTCACTTCCTGTTGCGAACATCAGCAGCTGCTTCTTCTGCTCCAGGGTAAACTCGTGTACCACTTCCCAGAACCACCTACGGTCAGATTATACAAGCATTATCAAGGTCCACGGCCTCTTTCCAAGCCGTCAGCTGCACTTTTCACACAACTATCCTTTCCACGGGACAGCCGCGTGAAAAGCACAGACGAAGGCCTCGATGAAGAGGATGTAAGTTTTACGAAGAAAACGTACAAAATGTTCATGAATTCGTCGCTCTCAGCCCAGGTCGTGATCAGGTCATTATTATTTGTGCTGTAAAAACTAATATGAAGTTCTCGGCTCTAATATCCTTAGTCTTCGAAGCATTTGGTTTTCAATCCATTGTAAATAACACCGCAAACTTCTTTTTTTAAGTTACCGAAAGAATTATAAGTCAACGTTTAAATATCTCTTAAATATTATTGTCAGGATTCTTGCCTTCGCGTGGTAAAAAAATTGTTGCTTGTACCTTATTACTGTTGAGCTTTCGGAAAGACCATTATCATATTCAGTAGATTTCTCAAGTGCATCAAAGTCGAAATCCTGAAGGGCAAAAAAGGAATACATACACACTTAAAATAATGATTTCAAGTGACTTCTGTATCAGAGGATTTTTCAACTGAACCGAAATTTCCAGTAACTGATAGAACTTGTCAAATTAGAAGTTATTCAAAATAAATTGATAGTATTCCACACATTTTTCCACACTTTATCCGAATTTCAAGAAACCCGCTTCATTTTGCAAGGAATTTTCATATGCTCCTGATTAGAATTTCCTTTGCTACAAACGCTTTCATTCCTTTGGATTTGGCTATATACATTCAATCGAAATGTTCTCCAGTCGGCCAACAGTTGGCCGACGGTCAGTTGACAGGTTTTTTATTTTCAGGAAGTTGTACAAAATTACCCAACTACTAGCCTCGACCAATGACAGCCTAGCGAGGTTTGTAACATGATAAAATTCAAAGTTGTTACCTGGCAGCCAGATACTAACAACTCCACCTCGTCCGGACGAAAGAACGTCTTTAAAGGTGACTCACTCACCACCAGGTCAAAGCCACGTCGAAACGCTTTAAACTGTGACGAAACAAAAATAAACAGCAGCACAGATTCAACTTTCTTGCTATTCCCACCTGTGATCTCCGTCCAATCTTTAGGTTACCCAACTAAATGGGCCATGGCCTCTCTCAAAACAAAGTAGGGAGTTTCCCAAAAGGATGTAGTAACCATCATAATGTTTTGTTGCTGTTAAGAATTTCCGATTGCTGGCTGGTTCATCAATAAGTTGCTGTAATTCATCTATTTATCTTACCATACTTTAGAGAGAGTGACAAAAAGATAGCCACGATCTGGTACATGGGAAGAAAGACGTATGTGGGGATTCTAGTTTATCCTCAGTTTAAAGTAATTTTGGTTTTATAAACTGGATTGATAAGTAAAGTAAATTGGCCACCGTAAAGAGTTTCATAGCTATTGTTTCGAGCACTAACCCTCCGTCAGAGCGTTCGTTAGCATTCCTAATTCGCTCTGACGAAGGGCTAACGCTCGAAACGACAGCTTTGAAAACCTTTATGGTAGCCCAGTTACATTATCAACTCAGTTGATAAAACCTAAAATTACCTTGTTACTCCCACCAAAACAGCACCACAGTTTCTTTAGAAACGCGCCCCTTTGTTCCTCAGTTTAACATTATCTCCATTTTTTAAAGTATTGACGTAATGAGCTTTGTAATGCAAAGGAGCAAGGGCAAAATACAACCAACATTAAAAATTGATAAAAGGTAAATAACAGAACAGCTACACTGCCACGTTCTATTGAAGAATAACTTCAATAAAAGGACCAGAAAGAACAAACTGTCAGAGTTCCTATAGAAATCATTGGCATTAACGGTAATAGTGAACAAAGGTTCCCATTTTCGGCCGTCGGTGAGTAAGCAAAAGTCGCAGTAGCTATTAAAATTAAAGGTAAGGTATATTTTTTAAATTACTTTTCCCCTTTTTATGAAGGGAAAACTGCCAGCCCAACTGTCGGCTGACAGTCGACCAAAACTTTGGCCTAAAAAATAACGAAAACTGTCGGTCGACAGATGGCCGACTGTCGACCGACAGTTGGCCGACAGACGGCCGACAATATCTTTCGGGAACTACTCTTCACTTTTAACGTCATTAACATTGGAACAGCTTTGTTCTTACCTGCCTCTCAACAGACTTGTTCAGGATGAAATCAGCATACAAATCCACAAACTCCTAATAATGTCAACAATATCAACAAGTTACTGTTACACTGTAGTCCTCAAGCATTGATCTAAGGCTATCTTGCACTACATGCCATTTATTAATTCATAATAAAACCATATTCCTTGAGTGAAGTACATTAACTTAACTATGAGCCAGTTAAAAATTTGAAGGAAAAAGTGGCTCAAAGCGAAGAAAGGTAAATGAAGCAATCGCTCAGGGAGAAGGAAGCCATCATGACAACCCAGCCACAATTGCACTCAAGAGAGTATCCAAACTGCTCTGAGCAACCAGCCAGTGAAACTAATACTCAAACAACAAAAATGCACAGGGGTGGGGTAAGGGGTTGAGGCAAGGGGGTAGGGCTGTCTTCTATCTGAGCTTAGAGGTGCAGAGGTTCCAACTTTTGCCTTAAAGCAACTTGCAGTCTTGTGATGGAAGCTCTTAGAGTCAAGACACGCACGATTTCCGCCTAAAAAGAACCCTCATGCACACCAGAAAGTCTTCAAGGAGCTCACCTTAAGTTTTAACTAACAAATATATGAGTATCATCTATATTCCACTAGGTGAGAAGCGAAACTTTACAATATTAAGCAACAAAAGCGCACAAATAGCTACAAATGTAAGTTTCCTTTTACCTGTCTATTTTGATTGGTAACACTGATCTCTGCACCGTTTTTCTTCAGCTCCTTTGTCACTGACATGCCAAACATGTCTGTGTAGCCAATGGTGAAACTGCACATAAAGTCACCTTCAACGTCACCCTTGTAATCAAGCATGTCCTGGAGACCAGCAGCAAGACCCTGTGCAGTATTTAAAATGTTTGTGCTATTATTAAAGGTGTGAAAAGTGCTAGTACACAGGTACACTCCCCACTATGCCAAAAAATGTGGTAAGAAATTATTGTTCATTTCCAGACTTCGACACTAACTTTTCAACTTACTAGCTAAGTGGCTAGTGACGACTTAGATGTCATGACAATTTCAGTTTGTTTACTAGCAAAACTGGCAAGTGGAAATTGAAAATCACTAGCCAGAACTGAAATTCTATGAGTCTGTGGCTAGTTGGCTACTGCTAGTGTTGAGCCCTGCATTTCACAGTGTTAGGTAACTGAGCTGGTAATATTACAAAGATAATATAATATAATAATAATAATAACTTTTATTTATATAGCCCTCATATCTTAAATTCGCTTGAGTCAAAGATGGTTTCCTTTAACTCAAGTGGTACAAGTTAGTTTTATGATCATAGAACTGACCGCATGTGAAACCTTGAGGTCTTCAAAAGTTCCTTTCTTGCCAAAAAGTTTTTTGTACACAACCATTGGGAAGTGCACATCCAAAATGACGTTGTTGTAAATTGCCAGGCCCAGGACCAAACCAATCAAAAAGAACTGGCTGTCTGTCTCGAATGAATTCAGATTGAACCAGCAGTAATGCATGGCCTCGTCAAAGGTGAACATCCCTGGAAAGGCATTGAGGTTCAATCACAAACATACATACATAAATGATTTTATTACACGACTCGGACAGTCAGAGGGCCAATAACTAAAATCAACCAATCAAAATGCTCTATTGCCGGTCCAATATTCTCTAAGTATTGGACCAGGCACTGTCCCGAATGGTCCCAAATGATACCGCACTTGTGTTCCTTTGAACTTCAGTCGTATAATAAATCTCTTATTAACCAAGCTTGCTCGGGACCGTACTGGAAGAATATCGGCCCTCGGTCTTTTTTGTATGGACCGAGCTGCGCTCGGTCCATACTGTCAAGACCTCGGGCTGATATTCTCCCAGTACGGCCCTCGCGCTTGGTTAGTAAGATATGTATTAACTTGTTCACCAATCTAAGATTTAGCAGAGATGTTGACTGTCATTTTCAAGATAACCTGCAGCTGTAAGTGAAGAGTGAAGTTTCTGTGACAGAGTGGAATTCTTGAAATACAATAACTAAATTCCAGTTGTGGAGTCTAATGTAGCCTACATTTTAGATAAGAGCAAACTGAAAAAGATTCATGGCACTTCTGATTGAGTAAAGTGACCTAATGGCTCTTCTGTTGAGTACTGAACCCCATGTCTCATTTTTACTACTTTCATGAAAGTAGATTCAGAAACACATTTAAAAAGGATTTTTTGAAAGGTGCTATTAAGAATCAGAGATAAAAATAAAAAAATCATAAAAAAAATATTCACCATAATCTGGGTTGAATATTTGCTCAACAATCAACTGAAAAAATTCTTTAGACACTCCTCCTTCATCAATTCCCTGCTCTCCCTCAAATTCAACATACAACTGCTTCTTTAGATCACCAGGGTTGTCTTGGGAAGTCATTTCAAGCTGAAGAATAAAGATACCCTATAAAACTACGAATTCATATGTATGCTATACCTAACAAAGTCTGCACACAAGGACTGAGTTACATAGTACATTGCAGGGTTCTCCCTAAATTTTGGAGTTGGAGGAGAATAAAATGGAGTAGCCGACAGAGGAATTTATAACAGCACCCAAGTGCCTTCCATGTGCCTCAGGCACGAGGGGGGGGGGGGAGAAATGCATTTTGAGAAATGATTGTGCCACTGATTATAGAACTTTTTAAACCACATATACATTTATGTAGACAGAGTATGTTGTCTTATATATGTAGATTGCTTTTCGTCAGTAACTGCTGCCTTGCAATTTGAGCCTGTTTCGTTTGTTAAACATTCGAGCATTTAAGCGATGTCTGCAACCAGATTCAAGCAATGGTGTGGCGAAATTCTTGATGAAACTTTCAAGTTTATTCAGTCAAAAACATTTGAGGACACTTGGCTCTTTCAGGAAAACTTTATTTATTTCAGATTATATTTACCCAAGGGGAAGTAGGTGCTGCAAATGGAAAAGTTGCCGTTGGATGCAAAACAAAGTATTTACTGAAGGGGAAGTAGGCATCGCAAATGGAAAAGTTGCCATTGGATGCAAAACAAAGTATTTATTTTTTTTTTACTATTTGGATCTGAGTAGCTGGCACGCCCAAGATGACTAGCCGGCGATTTTCGCCGGTAGCCAGGGCATATCGAGATCTCTGCATTGTACAAGCACCCACAGGGATTTCAATAAATTTTTGCATAACCCTTTCACTTCTTGCATCTTCTTAGCAATTCTACTTACTGTCTGCTGAACAATTCTTATGACACAAGTTTGGAGAATTTGGTATTGGATCACTTAATAATTCCCCAGTTAATATTTTTTTTAATTCTCGTCACTTGTCTGTTTGACATTGTATTGCAATTGTAAGGAGAAAGTCTGTTTGGTCACTCATAAGGCAAAACCCAAACACAAGACCCTGCTCCCAAATTAAACAGGGCACTTCTTCAAGGCTGAGAGTTCATGGGACAATGTTGTACCTTCTGATGTCAAATGTCAAAGTTGTACCTTCAAATATCAAATGAATTTATCTAATTAGGCTAAAAAGGTAAACACAGATAGATAAAAACTCAGCATGTACTTACATTAACAAGTGCATCTTCAATTAGGTGATCTCGCCGAACTTTTAGTTTTAAGTAGGGTGTTCCCTGCTCGCCTCTAACAAGACTGTACAGTATAGTCAGTCGTCTCTCGCTGTACATGCGTATCCGATTGTCATAAAACAAACCCACACTCTTTGTAGCCGTAGAAAGGATGAAGTTGTATTTCAGAAAAGAAAACTTAGTACCCTTCTCATGTTTGTAGTAAGTATAGTCACGATCAACTTCAATTTGGTCATTTAACGGATCGTTAACAAACTCTTGGTGTTTAACTAATGGTTGGCGACAGTCTTGCACATCTATTTTCAATTCCTTAACCAAAGGGTCCTCTTCATTATCACTTCCCATGGCTCCATCATGACTGTTGCTTACACAAATTTGATCAGAGATTCCACCCATTATACTAGCATAATACAGAAGTTTCATGACTTTGGTTGCTGCTACAATCGCTTCATCCTCTTGTACAGGTGCATTGCTTGTAGCACAAGGTCCTGTTAAAACTTGGTATGTCACAAGTTGCTGAAGTGTTTCCACCATACGTCGAATATCCTGACTTGAAAACTGTGACCAGATTTGGACTAAGTTTGCTTGTTGTTTAACAGAAAGAAGTGCCATGGCCTTGAGAAAACTAGGAAGAGCTTGATCTAAATATTCTGGACTCTGTAACATGGTGTTTTCCATGATAATCACAAACTGATTCAAGAAGTTTGGGTCGTTGCTTGGTGACTTGATTCGCAGTTCCATTTCGAGAGTTGGAGATAGGGCAACCAGGGAATTAATCAATGAGTTTTCAACGGAGGAATCACCTGTTTTAAACAGGGCTGCATACATACGCCGCACAGCCTCTATGTCAACATTGGTCCCTGAAATTTTTCTACTAGATGAATCTAACTGGAAACTTTTGTTCAGTGATTCAGAACTAGAAAACACAATGCCAATGTTATGCACAAGTTTCTTGTAGCTTCCCTCTTCCAAGAATGAGTCAAGGTTTGTCAAGATCGATTTTTCTGTTAGAAATGGTGCCTCCTGTGTTGGAACTAACAATTATAGACAATACTAAATGATCAGTCAGTACAGTTACGTACAAATAATGTTAAATACACTACTACTTCCTCCAATGCTTAAACATCACAATTCTCTTACTCATCACAAACTAAATAATAGTTACCTCAGGCTAGCAGTTTCTCAGCCCTGCTACAATAGTTCATTAACATCACAACACAACATTCCTTATATGAAAATAAAAGCATTAGTATTCCACTGCATCACTTCATAACCCATACCTTTGTGATTTTTATCTTGCAGAGGTTCACACAGACGGGCCTTCTTCATAAATAACTGTAAAGCCAAGGCTGCAGCATCATCCTTTGAGGTTTGCTTTCTCCCGCTTGATGCACAGTACTCATTGTTACATCCATGGGAGCCACAACCATCTGTGAGCTGGAAGAAATAGTTCTTTATCTTTTGCTCAGCAGCTCGCTTCCTGCAAAAAAGATCAATAGTACATGTATCTGAAAATGTAATCACAGTGAAGAAAACAGTTACAGCATCTCATGATGCAATGCAACAACCAAAGTAATTATGTGACCTTTCATTCCCTCAATACAAGCACATGTGTTATCCCTTCATCCTTTATTTTGCTTCTGAACTTGAACCAATGAAACACCATTACAATCTTAATTTTGTTTCAGATTTCGGTATTGTTACACATAAGTTTTCCTTCAAATCTGCACGGTCTGTACACTTTTTTGTGTACAAAATTCGACTATCATACAAAGACTTCACTAAGTTAGTAGTCAAGAACATGTTCCAAGATGTCATCAGTAATTCCCTTTGGATACTGTCTGCTATACAATTACTATGATATTAATTTTCTAATGAATTACCTTCCCCAAAACATTATTCATTGAGAACTACAAAAACAGTGTACCAAAAGAAGTGTAAAGACCCTGTAGGTTTGAAGGAAAACTTATGCGTGACAATACAGAAATCTGAAACAAAATTAAGTTGTTTCTGTGTTTCTGATTGGCTTAGGATCAGAATAAAAAACAACTGCTATAATGTTAGTTTGTAGAATTTGGTATTGGATCAGCAATTAATCCCTAATTGATATTTTCCTTTATTCTCACCACTTGTCTGCTTGATATCACATTTACATTGTAAGGAGAAATTCTGTCTTGGTCACTCACGGGAGCAAAAGGATGAAGACTGTGTGTGCTAACTTTGGCTTTCCTTAATTTGTAGTCATTCGCAAAGAAATTGGATGAAACCAGAAACAGTGAGACATTTGGATATCCAGACACCCAAAAAGCTTGTTTTAGTAATAGTAAATTAGTAATTTAATATTTATATTGCACAAATTAACATGTCGATATGATCAAATGCACATCACAACACTGTTCGGGGGACTTTGGCCAGACTGCATCAACAGTTTACAAACAATCGAAGGAAACTTATTTGAAGATGCCCCCTCCGCCCAATTCCCAGGAAACAGGCCAGACCACGTCACAGTAATCTCGTGAGTGGGTTCTTTAACGTCCCCTGCCTAATCAAATTATCACAACACTGTTCGGGGGACTTTGGCCAGACTGCATCAGCAGTTTACAAAAAATCGAAGGAAACTTATTTGAAGATGCCCCCTCCGCCCAATTCCCTGTAAACAGGCCAGACAACGTCACAGTAATCTCGTGAGTGGGTTCTTTAACGTCCCCTGCCTAACTAAATTATCTAATTAATAGATGCAGGATGCAGGAGACTATAACAGCTGAATAAGGTTTGTGACGACGCTGTCCCGGGTTTTTGACAACGCAATGCATTGATATCTAATTGAGGATTTGGGGTGCAAACAAAAAAGGAATGTTTTCATCATCCGCGCCAACGTGCTTATCTTCCACAAACTCTCTAACTGTGTGAGACTTAATATATTTACAGCCTATCCCAGTCACTTTTCACAATATTTCTCAGGTCAGGGATTACCGCCTTTATAATTTACTGCCTACTCCCTCCCCCAACCCCCTGCTCCACTTCCCAAAATACTTAAAGGCATGCCATTATAGCAGGTAATTTGGATATATCAACAAAGTTGAAATGGTAAATTGGCCACCGTAACGATTACAAAAGCTGACGTTTCGAGCGTTAGCCCTTCGTCGGAGCGAATAGAGGAATTGTGGGTTGTGTGTGCTTTTAAAGGCAGAAAATGGAGCTACGTTATTGGTGGGAACATGGCAACGAGAAAAACACGAATAAATTAGTGGAATGAAAAGCGTTCGTTGATCCCTGTGGGATTTAGACTGCCGGTTTGAAAGATGAGCTTTTGTTCAAGAGTTTTACGGCTTTCCGTGCTACCTAAGTGTAAGGAAAGACCGCAGATTGCCATATGTTGCTTAGAATGATTAGGTAAATTAAAATGTCTAGCGACTGGTTTCGATGTGTCCTTGTCATTCCTTTCCACGTCTCGAAGGTGTTCTCGGAATCGGTCACCTAGTCTTCTGCCTGTTTCGCCGATGTATATCTTTTTGCAATAAGTGCAAGTTATGCAATAGATTACATTGGCGGAGGTGCACGTGAAGTGATCGGTGATCTTAATGGATCGTTTAGGTCCCGATATTTTATCAGTGTTGTGAATGAAAGGACACGTTTTGCATCGTGCACGAGCGCATTTAAAAGTGCCTGGTTGGTCATTAGTCTGAAAAGAACTTCTGACCAAAAAATTGCCTATGTTTTTGTCGCGTTTGAATGAAATGAGCGGAGGCTGCGAAAAGATAGTGCTTGTCTCTGGATCGTTTTGAAGTAATTTAAAGTTTTTAAGAATGATGGATTTAACTGAGTGGTTGTGAGGGTGAAACGTGAGAGTGAATGGAATGCGGTCGGAATCTTCCTTATGCGACGTTTGTAGTGCTGAATGTCGATCAATAAGTTGGGCGCGGTGGTAACCCGCTTGAACGACAGAAACAGGGTAACCACGTTTATCGAAAAACTGGCACATTGACTCTGATTTGTGGTGGAAATCAGAGTCATCACTACATAAACGACGAAGTCTTAGAAACTGAGAAAAAGGAATGGAATTCTTAACGTGAGATGGATGCGAAGACGAATATAACAAGTAATTATGCGAGTCTGTAGGTTTGTAATACACACTAGATGACCAACTGAACAAGACTGACACCTTGTTTTTGAAATTTCATTTAGTCTTGACTAGCAAATTTGATCGGTAAATCTCATCAAGGAAACAGCCGTAATTTCAAGAATTTCTTGCGTTTGACTAATTTATTTACTGCAATGTTTTGAGAAAACTTCGCAAGCTCTGAGAGCCGCGCAATCAAATTGAAAGAAAACAACAGGAAATTTCACTAAAAAGAGTTAGCGTTCTTAAAGGAAGTGGCATGGTTGGTACCAAACACTGTTGTTGGCGTGAGTGTAAGACAGACTCAAGATGTGCCGATAAAAGGCAAAAATCAATCAAAGAGTTAGAGGAATAGGGGAAGCAAGTATTCATTCCTTTCCCAAAACCTTTGTGAGACTTAGCAAAGTGTAAGCGTTGGCTAGTGGCTTGCTCACGTTCATCGGTAAAAGGCCTAAATGCCCAGAAACCCTACAATATTGGCTGAGGGCCAAAATAACACCGGACAATGATTTTAATCAGGGCTTTACAAAGGTACGCAGAAGTAAATCAAATCCGTTAGAACACGGAGCAAGAAAAAGTAAATGCGATTATGCGCTTCCATAAATGTGAAATCATTCGTTTTAAGACTGAAATAAAGAGAAGAAAGCGACCCGCAACAGCTACAACACTGAACCTTAAGAACTGATGTATGATCGAATCAACGAGCGCAGCACAAGCTGAAAACACTCAAGATGATGTAACGATCGATACAGTTAAAAAAAATTGCTATACACTTCCAGGAACAGATTGCTCATTTCAGTTGACGGCTGAAATTTCCGTTAAGGAAACAACATTCCAGGACACCCACATCTACAAAGTCGAACGATTCGAAAAAGACACAGTCCTTGATTTGTGTACTCATTTTAACCAGCATTTCGGAATATGCACTTTAGTTCCTGTCACCCGCAAGGTGTTAAAAAAAATGTTATTTAAGGGGAGGCCCTCAGACCTCTCAGAACAAACTCTTCTCAAAAAAAATTACAAGAGAAAATTGCAAACTTCAAAGCACGTCTGCTATAGGACTTGTTTATGCGGCTAAGCATTTTTCTGAACTGATGAACAACAGTTGAGAATTTTTCTCAACGGACGGCTGAAACCCCAGCCGTGCGAACTGTTGAATTTTAATTACGTTTCCCAAGGGGTAACCGGCTGAACCAATAATTATTAGTTTTTTGGAACGGATAACACCAGCAGTACGAACGGATGCAAATTTTTTTGAATGGATAACACAAGCCGTGCGAACGGATGTAAGTTTTTTTTGAACGGATAACCCAAGCCGTGCGAACGGATACTATACTTTTTTGAACGGATGACCCAAGCCGTGCGAACGGATGCTAATTTTTTTGAACGGATAACACAAGCCGTGCGAACGGATGCAAGTTTTTTTTGAACGGATAACCCAAGCCGTGCGAACGGATACTATATTTTTTTGAACGGATGACCCAAGCCGTGCGAACGGATGCTAATTTTTTTGAACGGATAACACAAGCCGTGCGAAACGGATGCAAATTTTTTTGAACGGTTGGTGAACGGCAAGTGAACGGCAAAACGCCTTCAAACGGATAGCCGTTAGTGTACGTTTTCGCGTGAGAGGTCACATATATTATTCCATTCTGGGAGTTACAGGAACAAAAAAGGAACCTTGAACCTGATCCTTTAAATGCATAAATGCTTCCCCTACCTCCCTCCCTCTTTCAAAAGAAAATCATTATTGAATCAGTAGCATCTGAAACTGTTACATCTACATAATCTAAGAATATTCAGCCATCATTCAAAACACAGCAAAGAAATCCAATGCAGTTTCAACCTTACATTAACTAGACTTTATATGCAAGAATAAAATCAAACTGATTTACATAATCCACATCATAGCTGTACTATTGACACCACGCTCACTCTACACAGTACATAATTTGAGTTAAATCGGGAATTCTTTCTCAACGGTGTCCACCAAAATCAAAACACCGATACACCACACAGCAAGAGCAATTTTCCTAGCACCTATGAAATGAAAGCCAGCTTAACACGCATATCTGATCAAAGAAGGTCCTCATATGAGAAATCGAAAGTGTTTCAACTTAATGACATTACACCACATTAAGTGGTTGCACGTTAAAGTAGCAAGGTGTTGCCAAGACGATAAAAAGAATTGGTGCATTTTAGTTTGTGTTGATAAATTGCACCAATAACATGATCTTAGTTTCACGTAAAAAGAGGGACTGATCAGCGTTTATTTACAACAAAATAATTTGCTTACCAACGCGTTATATGTAGAATTAACAACACATAAAATTACGAACTGAAATGTTATATTTGGCGTTAAATCGAAGCTTGTAATATAAAGTAGAGACTCACAAGTACATGATTGTACAACTTACATGTCTGCGCTGTCATCACCAACGTCATCTTGGCTACAGTTCCTGGACAAGAAAATCGAGCATTTGAAAGAACGCTTATAAACCCAATATAGTACACTATTAAAACACGTGCCGACGACAAATCACCCCAAATAAGCCGGCAAAGAGGGGCATTGCCATCAAATCAGCTTTCGGTGAACATGCAAACAAAAAACATATCCCTACCTGGACTCGTTACGACGGCCCTTACCATCCGATGAGTACTTTTCTTTGTTCGACATAAAGATTATTTCTCGTTGAGGGGAAAATGTAGCTAAATTGACGGGTTTGGTAAAAGTCCAACTCCTCTTCCAGGAAACTCGACGTCCATGATGCTAGGTCATGTGTACTACTCCGCTGACTGAGCGAGTGATGAACTCTGGGATCTCATTAGAGTTCCGAGGGATGGACTGGGGAAGAACAGGACGAAAATCTTACCAATCTCACATGCAATAAATTTTTTCGCGGATTCTATTTTGAAAATTTAGTAGTTTTACGGGCCATATTCAACCCCTTTTGAGCTCTTTATCATAGATTTATTTTCGTCTTTGGTTTTAAATGACGTTCTTGCCTATACAGCTTGAAGAAGTGGCAGATATTGAAAGAATATCTGAATCACAAACAAAGAGATAGCGCCAGTCATCTTGACTTGGTTCCTGTGTTGTGAATTATCCCCCACATGATACAGTAGACAGTGTAATTTACGAAAACATACGGCGACGTGAAACAAGACTAGGATGGGGAAGCCAAAGAAAGGGAAAAAGAAAGACGCCGACTGGTGAGAATGATCTTTATTAATTTATTACTAGCTTGATGTACTTTTTGTCATGTGTTGCAAAGATCTTTTATATTGCTTTTGATTCGTAATAGCAATTGAAGCTTCAAATTACTCTGACAGTTTCTCAACCAAGAAATCAGCTGATGATTGGGCCATGCAGACATCAGCTGACAATTGGTTTAGTGTTGGTCAACCTTATGCCAACTATTTGGTTAGCTATCAAGTAACCCTTAACTCCTATGAATGAGCAATTAATTTTCGGCAAGATTTCCTTATAACCTCATACTTCATTATGCATTCACTTGGTGGATAAAGGAAAGCAGAGGCAAAACAACAGATTTCCTTTGGGACTACGGCTTTGTTTTTGATTGGTATGGGGTTATACGGAAATCTTTCCGCAATTTCTCCTAACAATATCAATACAAAATCAAGCGGACAAGTTGTAAAAAAATATATATCAATTAGGGGCTTATTAGTTGATGCAATACCAAGTTCTATAAAGTAACACTGTAAGAATCTTATGGCTGACAGTAAGGAGTAGTAGTTGTGAGATCTTGGCAGTGAAGTGTTAATTTGACTTAACCAAATAATCTTGTTAGCTGCACACAATCCCCTTGATCAATGGTAAAATAATCTTAACACCTATAGGATTAATTCATTATGCCTAATCAGTCCAAGACATTCTTGCAATAGTTTTTAAAAAGAAACCAACAATGGTATCCACAATGATTGCTTTACTCAGTTGTGGGCCAGTCTCTCTAATTATGGTTTATTCACTGATTTGCCTTCTCAGCCCTTGGAAGGTTAATTTTCACTGACAATCAGCCCACAGTCAAGTTCTTTACAATCTTCTAATTGTTGGCTTAGATTCATATTGTCTTGAACTCTCAACTAATCCACCATTTGGCCAACTATTAGTTGAATGTCAGTTAGTTTCTGACTAAATGACCATCCCAGGGCTGTGGTCTAGCAGCACCCAGTGGCCTCTGCAGGGTTTTCCTTTTCAAAGAAAGTTGAAGTTGATGAAAGGGAAGCAGTCAGAGATAATTTGGGTGCGTAGCACCCAACCTAAGTGCCAAAGGCACGAACAACTATGGGGGTCCGGGGACATGCCCTCTGGGAAATTTTGAAAATTTGAGTGCTCAGAGACGCAATCTGGTACATTTTGGGTGCTTAAATTAAGCAAATACGAAAGGCTTCTTCTTCAAGAGTATTTTTCCCAAAACTTCGTGTACATATTAAGGACAACCACAAATCGCTACATGGTAAGTTTCATTGATTTTTATTTCCATTTTCAAGTAAATTTCCAGACCTAAACTTCGCCCCATATGTTCTCTCTATTTAACCATGTGTACGCGACACAAAGAGTGAGTCTGGGTTACCTGTGTTTGTATCTGCACTCGTTCATCCCACGGGCAATACCGGGCACATTACTTATAAATATTAATGTAAAACAACACTCGAATCGATCTGGAGGAATTTCACATCAAGATATATTGACACAGAAATCAAAGGTAAACAAAAATACGAACATCACAGAAAATATTTCGCAATCATATCCCGCACGATCGGCTGAGACTTACTTTACTTCGAACTTGACCCAAGATAATATTTATGCTTTCGCTTGGTGAGAATAAGTAGTTCTTAGTTAAAGTATATCTGTTCTAACTAAAACAGTTAAAAGTGGATAAGTCAAGAAAATAATTGACCTTTCAAATAGTAATTTATTTAAATGCAAAAATAGAATAAAATATGTACCTTGAAGTTTGAAGGGATGCCAGTGATGCAGGACTTGACCTCGCAAACTTGTAATGAATGTTGTTTGCTCAGATCCATGTTGAAACTTACAACTTTTTTATTCATTACAAGATCACTATAATTTATACAGAGTGCGGTGCTCATGCTTATGTGAATGCATAGTTGTGCGTGCTGTGCGAGTGCGAAGGTAATTACATAGTGTAACAATGTCACGTACCAGTACACGCGTAAAAATTCTTCTTCGTTATTTGCTGAAATATGTACTTTTCATCGATTTCCGTTTCTTATACATCATTGTCAGGCAACATACAAAGCGTTAATTATTTATCTAAAAATATTTTCAATTATATAACAGCAAGGACTCTTTTAGTTGCCGGCGACAGAGCCGTTCGCAGGCGGCGAAAATTGCCAGTCACCGGCCAAAAAGGAAAACCCTACTCTGTTGCCTTACTTTTGTTCTTGGGTGACTCAGGAATCTTAGCTTTTTCAAAAAAAGCATATGCTGAGCACCCTGGATTTCACAGTTTCAGAGCACTGGGCTCCCTTCAATTTTTCTTAGCCCTGCACCCATTTATTGACTATCAGCTGACAAATTTAGTGAGTATCAGTCACCTGATATGCATTGGGTACAAGGCTATATATAGTGCTTATGATGCCATGATTTTTTTTGCAACCTTTCTAACTTTTGTGAGACACTCCATGGAGAGTAACTGTATCCTGAAGTGTCACTGATAGTGAATTGTCTCAGTCTAAGGCAGAAATCATGAAAACTGTTATGTCTCTGAGGTTTTTTTGTATGCAGGTAGGTTATTAACCATTAAAGTGTACCTAAACCCAAAAATTTTTTTTCCGCTTAACAAAATAAGCTTATTTTTTGGAGTATTTCTGTGCAAAAATGTTTTAATTTGCTCAAATCTTTAATTTTCTGTACCCAGTCAAAATACAGAAAATCAGCCGCCATCTTGCCCCACAGCCGAGTTTAAAGAGGAATGGCTCTAGCAGGTAATGTGACGTCAAATCGAGAACACAAAAGTCTGCATTTCACACATTTTCACTTGTTTGGGAAGGTTGTTGTTGATATTGTCCGAAATATGCTGACGAGGTGTGTAGTATGAGGAATGTATGACGCGCAATACCCTCTTACAAATTTCGCACATTGCAACATCCTCCTACAACACACTTAGTCGGCATATTTTCGGACAATATCGACTACAACCTTCCCAAACAAGTGAAAATGTGTGAAATGCAGACTTTCGTGTTCTTGATTTGACGTCACATTACCCGCTAGAGCCATTCCTCTTTAAACTCGGTCATGGGGCAAGATGGCGGCCAATTTTCCGTATTTTGACTAGGCACAGAAAATTGAAGATTTGAGCAAATAAAAAAAATTTTATTTTGTTAAGCGAAAAAAAAATTGGGGGTTTAGGT